CCGACGTAAAAAAAAGATAAAGAGTAACTCAGCTGTCCCCTCGAGCCCTCAGAATCTCGACTGGTAAACTCCTGAAGCAAATGGCATCAAATCTCTCTAGGAGCAACATTTACTGAAAACACTGACAAGAAATGGCTGAGAGGAGGAAACAATTTAACATTTTGTAATGAAAATGAGGAAAAAGACAAACACAACCCAGGGCAGGTTATACCTTAACCGGCCAAACTAAACACCAGTGCACACACCTGTCGTCGTCCTCGTCGGAGATCACTTCCAAAGATGGCAACTGAATAGAAATTCTATCTGTCAGACAAAAACAAAAACATATCTTCAAGCAGCCTAGCTTTCTAAGTCATAGTCAAAGGCAGAGCTAAAATAACACCAAATGAGGGGCACCTGGGTGGCTCAGTCGGTTGCGTGTCCGACTTCGGCTCAGATCATGATCTCGCAGCTCGTGGGTTCGAGCCCCATGTAGAGCTCCGTGTTGACAGCTCAGACCCTGGAGCCTGCTTGAGATACTGTGTCTCCCTCTCTCTCTCTGCCCCGCCCTGCTTGCCCTCCCTCTCCCTCTCTCTCTCAAAAACAAATAAACATTAAAAAAAAAGTTTTTTTAATAAATAACAGCAAATGGGACCACAAGTCTAAAAATGTCAATACCTTCTGGCAAAATATAATAAGCGTATTCAAATGCCTGGCTCATTTTAGGAATTGTAGAAACAGAGCTATTCAACTATGCCCAAAAAGGGTAGCGGGGAGCAAACTTCCTGCAGAAGACCCGAGAGTTACTGCTGTAGGTTCTGTGGGTCTTCCAAGGACTCGGTCCCAACTACTGGGCTATGCTGTTGTGGTGCAAAAGCAGCCACAGACAATACACAAATGAATGAGCCGGTGACCTAGCAAACTTTGCTCATTGATGTGAAATCTGAATTTCAGGTAACTTTCACAAAATAGTCGTCTTTTGATAGCTTTTAAACTATTTAAAGGGGCGCCTGGGTGGCTCAGTCAGTTAAGCGTCCGACTTCAGCTCAGGTCATGATCTCACAGTCCATGAGTTCGAGCCCCGCGTCGGGCTCTGTGCTGACAGCTCAGAGCCTGGAGCCTGTTTCAGATTCTGTGTCTCCCTCTCTCTCTGCCCCTCCCCTGTTCATGCTCTGTCTCTCTCTGTCTCAAAAATAAATAAATAAATAAAAAATAAACTATTTAAAAATGTAAGAAAACACCCTCCGCTCAGGGGATGCACAAAAATGGGGGTGGGCCAGGTCTGGCCCACGGGCCGAAGTTTGCCAACCCTTCAGCTACATCGTGTGTACCTGCTTACCTTGTGTTTGGGCCACGTGAACATGTTCTATCCAAGCAGTGTGGTAGCCCACTATACTAGGATGCTGAAGGCCGGCCAGGACCTTCACTTCCCGCAGTACCTACAGAGGAAACACACTTAGATCTGGCTTTCACGGACAGCTGACTAACTGTCCATCGTACCAAAATACCACTTGTTTCAGAGCAAAACAACCGAAATCCATCTGAACAGGAAATCTAAACTACGTTAAGATAATCGTAATATTATTGAGACAAATGGAATTGTCACAGCAACAAAATAACGTACATGTACCGAGTGCTTCACACTTTACCGAGCCCATTTATATTTGTTCTCTCATTTTACTACTACCAGTAAGTCCAGTGCTTGCTTCGGCAGCACATATACTATGAGTAAATCCAGTCCCTGAAGGTAAATAAAACCACTGCAGTCACTACGTCAAGGACAGGAGACAGAAGTGGCTTAGAGGACTATGTCATTTGCCCAGGACCATACAACATGTCGGGGGGAAGACCAGAACCTGAACTGAACTCATATTTTCATAACAACCTATGCTGTATATGAATGATTTACTTTAAAAATTAATTTCCCCAGCAATGCTCCTGAAATGTGGTCAGTCAGGAGCGTCTATAAAAAATTATGTCAGGGACGCCTGGGTGGCTCAGTCGGTTGAGAGTCTGACTCTTAGTTTGGGCTCAGGTCATGGTCTCACAGTTGGTAAGATCGAGCCCTGCACTGGGCTCTGCCCTGACAGTGCAGAGCTTGCTTGGGATTTTCTCCTTCTCTC